ATTAGGAAGTTGATTTCGCATTATTTCTGCTCTCATTTTTGTATTAGAAATATTTTGTGGTATCTAATCTGAAAGGTCACGTTTAAGTAAATAATTCATAAAAACACCAGGTGTATTTGGATTATCTAAAATTTTTCCTAAATGCTTAAAATATTTCATATTTTCTTTACATTGAGGCGATACACAATACGTCTATTACCCATTTCAATGCGAAGTGGTGCATCATGGTTACTTAAAACTATATACCCAGCAAAGTCTTTAATTGTTTTAAGCTCAAGCCCTTTACATTCTATTGTCATGTATGGTTCAGTTATGAGTGATTTTAAGTGATCATTGGCCTTATGCCATTCTCCAGAAGCCATTTCAGCCTCATTTAAAAGGATAAGTTTTCATGTTTGTATGTAACTATTAAATCTTCCCAATACTTTCCCAAAATCTGATGTCGCAAAGAATAATTCTGACCCCAGTATTTCCTTTCCAATAAAATCTGTCAAGATATTTTTTTCAGAACATGGGATGAGCATAATACTAAAATAGTACCAGGTTTTTTATCAGGATATTGTACAAGATATGCAAACTAATTAAGAACATATTCTGAAAGAACTTTATTTCTATTACACCAGACATTTTCTATATACCAGATTATTAGCTCAATAAGAGCAGAATCTATTTCAATGATAGGTGCTTTAAAATCCAAGAAGAGGTTGAAAAACTTTGTATTTAGTGAAGGCAACATGATGGGTATGGAAGGAAATCAATATCTCAATATTGAATTAACCCTTTTATGACCGCCTGATCTATTAGATTTACTAATTTTATTGCTTCTTCTCCTAGCTCAATTAAGTTAATTTTATATTTAGTAATTTCGAGCTTAGATAACATCTTAAAAAAAAGACTATCATCAGAATCCTCAAGTTTTAATATCTATAATTTTGTATCAGGTTGAATGCATGCTATTGTTGCTTGAATGGCTTCGTATATAGCATTGTGAGTGAATTTTTCTTTTATACCATACATATCAATTAGATTATCCCAAATGAAGTGATCATTAGAATCTGATATTCTGGAACAGTCTAGTTTTCTAGGGTTCAGAAGCTTCTTTTCTTAATCTAAGGCAGTTTCATTAATAATAAGTTTTTTCGAAGGATTTTGCATTCTAGGTTTCCAATCCTGATTAGCATGACAGTAATAAAATCTATATGTTTTATTTTTTTGTATAATATAAGCATTTTCACTACTATGCTTCCAATCACATAATGGGTAGTGTGATAAGGAGTTGCAAATTAATGAGAACAAGTCTGAATATTATCCAAAAGGGGTGAGAGAATATACCCTTCAATACAATTATCTTTGAGTAACGTTTTCACAAAATCAAATTCCTCCTGAGTCATTTTACCATTAGTATCATTACACTCTTTAGCTTCTAGTTCTAGAACAACTAAGAGAGGATTTTTTGCGATTTTTGATTCATCATTAGGCGGGCGAATCATGAAGTCAAAAATAGTTCCATCTTTTGGATGCATTGCTTTTTTCATACAAACGTGCTTCTTTATTTTTTTATCATACTTGAGTGAACTAAGCATTCACAAGAAAAATGAACATTTATTCGCAATATTATCTATAATACTATTTCTCTAAAGGGATACTGGAAGTTTCTTATGAACAAGCTCAGTAAATATTGCAACCTGTACAATATTTTTAAGTCTTATACCAGTAGTCAAGATATGGTAAGACATTTTTTTCACATTACTACTGCTGGCAATGGTTATAATTTCAGGATCCCACTTCAGGAATATCTCTAAATACACTTTTGTAATAGCATTAATAAGTAAATTTCGTATTTCTTTACCTTTAAGTTTAGGTTCAATACTATCATATACTTTTTATAGTAAATTGAAGTCAATGATAGGTCAGAATGGCTCATCATCATCGATATATTCATGTAAGGAATAACCTTCATGATCTGAAAGTATGATTTCTATTTCATCCTCATTATCTGCATCAAGAAAATGTTTTGGTCTAATACTATGCATCACAAATTTTATATAAGCATTTGCTGACATTTCTGATTTTAAAATTTTGTTTATATGAGGCGGAGGCATCGAGAAACTCTAAAATCTCTGAATATTGTATCATATTTCAGATATGTTATCTAGTATATCATTTCAGTATAATACCCTAGTAAAAAAGTTTAAAATAAAAATAAATATTATTATAGACATCAAAGATTGAGAATAATAGCAAAATGGTAGACATTATATTCACCGATAATTATATTAGAAAGGAAGGTAAATACATTTGCCAGTATCTCTCTGATGAAAGAATAGTTTATGGGAATAGAAGTACGTAACCAAAAGGATGTAGTATTCACTAGAAAAGATGCTAGCGAGCTTTATGCAAACAAGATAGATGTGTAAGACTGATAGCTTTTAAATATAAGTTTTGTAATTTGCATGTCCAGAAGTGTTATTTAAAGGCATATTATTAGCGGAAAAAGTTGGATAAGATGTTTTGGAATGAGCAGATTCCAGATGCATTAAAATGAGATTTTGATAAAATAAAAATATCTGATACAATAGAATTCTGACCTTAGAAAGTTGTCCTTAGAAAAATGCAGGAGACACTTCTGAGGATGTTGAAAGTAGGCTTTTTAATGTTTTTAGAATCCTGGAAAGACTTCTAGATAGATGTTCTTAGTGTCCCTAGCGTTCTTAGAAAAAAATCAGAATACCTAACCTTTTTTTTTATTTTTTATTTTTTAAATATATGTATATTACGCATATACTATTCATATAGTATCTATATACTACCCACATAGCATACATAAGTTGCATAGGAAAAGTTTTGAATTTTTTCCTACAACTTATTTTTTACTAAGAATACTAGAAACACTAGGGACATACATAGAAGAACACAATTAATAAACTTAAAAACCCAAAAATCAATATTATAGTTGTCCCTAGGAAGTGACCTCAAAAAATTTTCTCTAAGGACACTAAAGACAGCATAATGTGAAAAAATTGTCTTAATTTATATCCTAATTCTCCCTCATATATACCTTATATTGAATATGGTAAACGAACTTATTCTGAATATGGATTTTGCGATTCATATGCAAAGAAACATAAGGTAAAAGAAGAGTACCATCGGAAAAAGTTGGTAGAGCTAGCCTAAAACTAGCGAACTAATAGAAATACTTTGGTTCTCTACCATTTTTATGATAATTCCAGGACACTATCAAAATACCATCATGGTGTCAAGCTGGATTTTCAAATCACATGCTTAAAAGATTAGCTAAAATTAATCGCAGATCTACTGCACTACCTGACACAATATTTTTTTATCATATTTTGATATCTAGAAAGGCAACCAAATAGGCACAAAGAGAAAGCACTTTAACATAGAATCCAGCACCCAATCAGGCGCAGGAGGCCAGCATTCTTAACATAAAACTAAATATCCAAACAGCTACAGAAAGCCAATACCAACAATATAGAATTTATTATGTAAATAGATTAAAAACAAGAAGAAGCAGTTATTATTAGATCGTGACATCACCATTAAATTAAAGTATTACCATCTACCATTAGACTATGAAGTTACCATCATATTATATAAGAAACAGTTAAAATAATGCTATAAACGCAAAGGAAATACCTATATATAGGTTATGAAGGCGCTATTAAAATATAAATAGTTTGTTATGAAGTTACCACCAGATCATGTAATTGAATTATGATATCACTATTATATTATGAAGATACCAGCAGAGTATGAAGCTACCATTATATTATGAAGATACCAGTAGACTATGAAGTTATCATTATATTATGAAGATACCAACAGACTATGAAGTTACCATTATATTATAAAGATACCAGCAGACTATGAAGTTACCTTCATAACCTAATCTAAGTTGCATGTGATTTTATAATATAATTATATGATGAAGTCACATGCGACTAAAGTATATTAATATTATTTATATATTTTAAAATAAATCTATTATGTATATTTTTTCAATTAATAAATAATAAATTAAATAATAAATAACAAAAGACAAATGTAAAAATACTTATAATTTATAATATCTTATAATCTGAAACTTATATTCTTTTAAAAAAGTTATTTATTTATTCTATAATTTTCACTTAAAACTATATTGATTTTTTTTAAAATATTAAAATAATTTAAAGTAATAGCCATTTTAAATAAAATAAAATTTTTTCTGTAATTGAATTTGTAAAAGTATGATCAATTATTAAATTTAAATAAGTATAATATGTATTATTATCAGCATTAATAGATTTGTTTAAAACTCTAAATCAGTTAAATTAACTTGTTTATCTAGGTTAAAAATGATCACTACAATTAAAAAAATAGCACAATTGAGTTGCAACTTGTGATGCAATTAAATTTTCTTATGATACAATTAAATTGCAACTCAATTGAAATTTGAAAATAATTATAAAGATCATCTTTAATGTAGATTAAATTGATCTATTATCTGACTTGACTTAATTTATCAAAATTCAGGTAGTAGTATTCTAGGACATTTTAATATATTAATATATTAAAATGTCCTAGAATACAAGACTGATATGTCCTAGAACGTTATAATCTATTGATTAATATGTCTTAGGACGTTATAATCTATCAATTAATATGTCTTAGAATGTTATAATCTATTGATTAATATGTCTTAGGATGTTATAATCTATTAATTAATATGTCTTAAGATCAATATAATCTATTAATTAATAGGTTTTAGGACGTTATAATCTATAAATTAATATGTTCTAAAGACGGGTCTATTTTTCCTCTCTATGACCTGTTGGTGACCCTCGTGAAATATTTAATAAATACATTCGTTTTATAAATGATCACAAATTGGAACACTGAATTGAGAACTCTGTTAACAGTGTTAACGATCAGAGCACTTCGGAAATTTTGAATGATATGCGAGAAATCCTTCTAGATGATCTGAAATCAGTGTATGCCTAATCAGATCTGACTATACTACTTTCATGCTTTTTTCTCAACACTAACCTTGGATTATATCGCTTTCTACATGTCTTGTTTCGCCATGTCTGAGAAAGGTATACAATTTGAAAGATCGAAGCTGATGCCATTTACAACCCAACTATTGCCCATTAGTTGCCAGTATATAGGCAGAATGTTGTAAGCACTTCTGAAGTCCGATCATAGCTTAAACTGGGTCGAGGTAGTATGTATGCTATTTTTTCTGAGTGTTCCTATAAAAATTCTCTGTCTCTATAAATTTTTCATGAGGCCAAATTTTCGATAAGTCATTAGGACCAACTTATAGTATTAAGTATTTTCATTCTATCGAGAGTCTGCCCCAATGCCTCTGGAATCTGCCCGTTCTGAAGCATCTTACGCGAAGACTATACCATACCCAAGTACATACCATCGAGATGAAGGCTTCTGCCAATATTTATATAATAGATTACGCAGAAGCCCCTTTTTCAGTTGCATATTCATTTGTCTTCCTTTTACAATTTGCTTACTAGGTTGCTATACGCCTCTTTTTACATCTTCCGAAAAAAATAAATTAAACATTTCCGAATTTTATAAAGTAATATAAATATTTTCAAACTAACATCATGCATACAC